CATCCATCCATCCATCCATCCATCCATCCATCCATCCATCCATCATTATCTTTACCCACTTATTCCATTTTGGCTCACGGGGGTCACCGGTGCCCATGTCCAGCAATCACTGTGCGAGGGGCGGGGTACACCCTGGAAGGGTCGCAAGTCCATCACAGGGCCACATAGAGACAAACGAGACAAACAACCATTCACTTTCTCTCTCACACCTGGGGACAATTTAGAGTTACCAATCAGCCTAACATGCATGTTTTTGGTCTGTGGGAGGAAACCGGAGTACCCAGAGAAAACCCACGCATGCACGGAGAGAACATGCAAACTCCACCCAGAAAGGCCTCTGGACCGGGGTTTTTGAACCAGGGACCTGCTCGCTGAGAGGCAGCAGCTCTACCAGTTGCGCCACCGTGCTGCTAATAGATAGATAGATACAAATTATGATTATATATACATATATAAATATACATATATACAAACTGCTTTCCATCCATCAATTATCTTTACCCACTTCTTCCTTTTATGGGTCGCGGGGGTCACTGGTGCCCATGTCCAGCCATCACTGTGTGAGAGGCGTGGTACACCCTGGACAGGTCTATCACAGGGACACATAGAAACAAACAAACATTCACTCTCTCACTCACACCTAGAGACAATTTAGAGTTACCAGTCAGCCTAACATGCATGTTTTTGGTCTGTGAGAGGAAACTGGAGTACACAGGGGAAACCCACGCATGCACAGAGAGAACATGCAAACTCCATGCAGAAAGGTCCCTGGCTGAGATTTGAACCAGGGCAACCTGCTCACTGAGAGGCAGCGGCTCTACCAGCTGTGCCACCATGCTGCCCAAACTGTTTTCCATAACTCTATAATTTTTAGAATAACAAACACTAATTTGTATTATCAAAGGCATTTTTTATTCAATACATATCCCCACTGTGTATTGTTTTTTATCAATTGATGCTGTAAATTATTTGATGAAGTATTGAAAAAGATGCAGATCTATTTGCTTCAAGTTCTTTCTGGTTATAACTGAACTTATTTAAAATATGTCCGGGTTTGCAAAAGCCACTTTACCAGTAATTAAAAAATTGTGGAACCAAAGGATCTGTGCTGTAATTATTAGAACTTGTCATCGTTTTTGTAACATAAAAACCTTTGCCATTTTTAAGTATTATTATTATTTCTTTTATAAATGTGCCACACTGAAAGGATGGATTATAAACAAATGGTTTATTAATTGTTTTATTGCATTTTTCTTAACAATCCAATCAGTTTCATTACAAATAACTGAAGTGTCTTTGAAGCAGAAAGCCAGTCATGATATTTGATTGTGTTAAATACTGAAGTACAAAGTATATTAATCCAATTTAATATGTTAAGTTTGTGCTTTATTTCTTTATTTTTGCCAAATCTTAATGGTGACAGGACAAGATTTAAGAAAGACATCAAATCATAGAGGAGCACAGAGGAACTGGTGTATTTATCTGTGCTGTACCAACAAGCACTACTTTATACAAGTTTAGAGTTTGCAAAATATAAATATACAATCTTACATACCAGATGCAGATGCCACTGAAGGCAAATAATAAATAGATGCATTTTTTAAAATCAGCCAATTATCATGAAGTACCACCACTAAAGATATATTTTTGCAACAAACTTGCAGGTGAAATTCCAAGTATTAAAGTAAAACTAATTAAATAGATTATAACAGACAATTCCAACAGATATGTTTTAGTAAGCTAGACATTTCTGGCGGCACGGTGGTGCAGTGAGTAGAGCTGCCACCTCTCAGCGAGAAGGTTGCTGTATGAAATCCCAGCCAGGGGCCTTTGTGGGTGGAGTTTGCATGTTCTGTCCACCATGCATAGGTTTTCTCTGGGTACTCCAGTTTCCTCCCACAGACCAAAAACATGCATGTTAGGCTGATTGGTGACTCTAAATTGTCCCTAGGCAAGAGTTCATTCAACCCTGTCTAGTGTGAGAGAGTGAATGGTTGTTTGTCTCATTTGTTTCTATACGTGGCTCTGTGATGGACTGGAGACCTGTCCAGGTTGTCCTCTCACACAATGACTGCTAGATATGGACATCAGTGACCCCCGTGACCCAAAAAGGAATAAGTGGATACAAGTTGTGTCAAGAGGAGTATCCGACATAAAACAATTGTCAAGTTTTCCATTCAAGTTTGCTTGCTGTGTTGGCCCCTAAAGAATTGTGCTGCTGGAAAAAAACAAAAAACAAAAAAACAAAGTTTGCACACAAAAAATAAAGTTACAACTCAGAACCTTGTATTTTTTTCACATTTATCATTTGTCTTATCTGTTTTTTTTTTTTTTCATTTTTAAGTCTATTTTGTTCTTTCTTAGGCTTTTTTACATTTGTACATGCCATAATTTCCACACTTTAAGTCTGAATTGTTTTTTGTGTTCCAGCAGCACCTAATGCTTTCTTATGTAGTCTGAAAGTAATGCAGGACATTATAGTATGCCTGTTGGTACTGGAGGCTAAAATTAACAAAGATGTTGGAGTTTGTGTGGACTAATTAGTGTGAAAAGTTATATGCATGTCCATGTGTTTGTCACAGTCTGGAGCTTTTTGTGAGGCAGCCATTATTTGGCCTCAGATAGTAAAATCAATAAAATGCAGATGTGTCAAACCGACTTCTATTTAATGAGTTACATTTATGCCACTGACGTATTTTTATACATGTTTTATGTGTTCCTGTGCATTGTTCATACACAGTAGTTTACGTATTAGCATAGTCATGCTGTTAACTCTTCATGAAAAATCTACCTGGTCACCTATTGCCTACCTGCATGTTTTTTCCCCCTTGGCCCAAGAACCCCGAGAATGAAATAGCTGTCTGCAGACAGGTTACAGATTTTAAATTATTTTTTGTACCATCATATCTGCTTTGTAAATGATTTTTTTTAACATTCTGATTAATTAGAATAAATGCCATTAAAACTAATTTCTGACAATTACCTTGATTTGCTTCACCGGGACCACCATGAAGAAAATAATTTGCTCTGCCTTAATTTCACCAATTGAGTGCATAAAAAATAAATTTAAATAAAAAAAAATTGTATCAATTATATCCTCTCTCTGTGGTGAAGTAGTTTGATTAAGCGCTAAGTGTCTCATCTGATCAGCAGGTGGAAAACCGTCAGACGAGCATACCAGATATACATTATAAGTCTGTTTAAAAGTGGTTATCCTATTACTCACAAATCTTCCTGAACTTGCTCATCACTATGTTGGAGGTATGTTGGATGAAGTTTTATATTCAAAGAACCACACTAACCTTTTGTTTTTTATTCAGTACATTCAGGTTTAAGAAGTCTTGCCCATGTGTATGACTTTACTGCCTATTATAAGACCATCACTGAGCTATAGTGCCCTCCATATGTGGGACCCTCTAGAAGATGAGCTCTTAATTAGAAGAGCAGCTGGCTGCCCGCTAGCAAGCTAGGCTAGCAGCACAGGTGACTTAACTCAGCAGTAGCTTCCAGCATGTGCGGCCTGATTTTAGAGTCCACTCCTTGTGTGTACATGTGTGCATG